TGCCTTCTTGTGTTCCTTGGATATGATACTATCAAGCTGTGGTATCCTGCTCCTAATGTGATGATGCATACTTTCCTTGATTCCTTTTGAAACTTGCTGCCTCGACTATTCATGTCTATACACTGTATGGATTTGTCCAGTTCTTAGAAAGTCCATTTTCATAATCCTACCCTCTCCAGCTTGCCCTCCAGTGGAATGAGTACCAGGTACTAATACCACCACTAAGAGGTTGGGCCAAAGCAAGGTAAGTATGAACATGTTACCTTTAGAGAAAAAAGCTACAGTTTCCTTAGCTTTCCACCAGCTCACTTCAGAATCCATTCCTTTCAACCTGTACCATGTTGTTGCCCAGAACCATGCTATCATGCTCTTGCATGCAACAAAGGTTGTTTCAATGGAAGGTTGGAATATGTGACAATGCATGAAGTTAGTATCTTTCCCTGCAAAAAAGAAAATTAGGTTAGTGTAAAAAGTGTTCACATTGTACTCCTCCCAAAGTCCTTGTACAACATGAACTGTTGAGAAAACCTCCAACCTACAACACCTAGCCCTTGACCTATCCCTACCTAATTGGAACCAATTCCTAACAAAAGCCGGTATACCTACACTCTCTATATCATACCCTTCATACCATCCCATATCAGACCACTGAACTGCAGCACCTCCTTTCATATCATTTCTTATGACCCATCCTAGACTCCATTGTAAGTACTCCACCTTGCTCCATATTTCTTTATCCCTCTTGATTAAGTGTTTTAGTCTCTTGCACCACATTTAATTTAACAACTCTCTACACCTGCATACATAGGAGTTATGAACCCATGCACCACATTGATATTGATTCCTGCTATATATTTCCTTATTGCTCCTGTCATGCAAGCTTACCCCCATATTTTCCTGAACTCCTGCAACCAGTATCACCTTCTTTAAGGCTGCTGCATCACCTAATACCCTTTTCCCAATTCGATTTAACATTCTGGACAAATAAACATCCAACATAGCTGCTTGACTTTGCCAGGCAGCCCTGCTTTTACACAACAAAGTGCCCATATTAGAACCTGCAGCTATGTTTGTTTTTGATTTCCTTTCACTGGGTTTAGGGGTGTTCATGGTTCGGTTTTTCCCTGAAAAGAAACCAAACCAAGTAGGTCGATTTTTCAAATATTAGAACCAAACCAAACCAATTAAGGCGGTTTTTTCTCGATTCGGTTTATGTCGGGTTTTTCGGTTTTTTCGGTTATTTATCGGTTTTTTCTTAAATATAAGACATACACTACCAAACACATATTCCGGCGATCACATTTTCAATGTAACACTATCAAATCAATTGCCCTTTGAGAAATCTATTATTTACCAATATATATTGATGATAATTGAATCAAATAGTAATGAATAATTTAAGGACTCAGTTAAAAATATATTATTTTTAACACGAAATGAATTCTTACACTTAACAAAAGAAAACTACCAATCAAACTAGAATGTAAAGGTAAAGAACTATACTAAAAGTGCAAACTATTAACATTTACCATTAAATTTTTTAAACTTTGTACAAAAATATACATATATATAGGTGTAATAATAAATTAAAAATAGCTACTCCTATAGGCGGTTTGGTTCGGTTTTTTTCTGATTAAAACCAAAACCAAACCAAATTTGATCGGATTTTAAAATTCAAAACCAAAACCAAACCAAACCAAAAAGTATCGGTTTTTTTGGTCGGTTTGGTTTGATTTTCGATTTGGTTCGATTTTTCAGGTTTTTATGAACACCCCTAACTGGGTTGAGTGCAAAGCACTAATACCACCAGTTGAATCTCCATCAAAGAACAAGACATAGCTGCTGACACCAAACCTGCAAAAAAGAAAACATTGTTAGATAAAAACATGATCACCATGTACTCCTCCCTATGGATTTGTACATGATGATGATAACTCCTGCAGACCACTATTGCTCTTCTCCTTGTCACCATGGTCTTTAGTTCTTGGCTACCTTCACCCTCAAGTATGGACATTGCAGTTTATCCCCATTTACTAGCCTTCTACCTTGTGTGTCCAAGTGATGAAAGGAGAAACATTCAATTGACCCTACCTAAACTTTGTTAGGAGGCGATGCTTGAGAGTATTTTCTTCCTAACTTCAAGGGTTAGTAACTTTAACTTGTTTTTGATTAAATTTCCATTATTTCCCATAGATTTTCATCCCTATACCTAGTATTTCATAGAGTAGAAATAAAATTTTTGGGTAGAACATTTAATTTTGTATTTTTAGAGATTTAGATCTAGATTTGAGTCAGATCTCGAAACTAATCACATATTTGAACTGGGAATAAATGGTAATCGAGATTTGGTCTTGTCAGAAATCGACCAAGTGGGCTCGGGTTGAATTTTTGTTGACTTTTAAAAATATGTTAAAGATTATACCTTTTTTATACTAGGGTAGTTTCTAAAACTTATTTTGACTTTTTTGAGTATCATTTTACTAGATTCGAGTTGTTTATTGGCTTGTTCTAAAGGGAAAACGATATTACAGGGTTGACTTGTTCCAGAAAGAGATAAATATCTTGGTTAGCCTTCATTGAGGAAATTAGATTATAATTGGGTCTAATATATATATAGGGACAGTGTATATGCAAGGTGGCGAGTGCATATGCGTTTGTCGTGGGTTAAGCATGCGAGTAGAATTAGCATTATTCATGACTTGTTGCTTCACGTATTACTTTTTCTATGCTCAAAATAGTTTATGAAACTTCTTGGTTAATCTTAATCATACTAATAGTTATCTTTTGGTTTGTCGAGACATTTAGACGTTAGTGGCTCGGCTATTGGTGTAAACGTAATGGTTATCTCTTATGTGGTCTATTATACTTAATCACTCTTCTTCATGTCATTCATGCTTTCTACCTTACTTGGTATTATTTTGTATATATGCTTGGTGGGAAAGAGTGAATTGCACTAAGGGTATTTTCATGCTTGTGAGGAAGAGTGATTATGCACGAAGGGTGTTTTCGTGCTTCTTGATATCATTACTATCGCACAAGGGATATTTTATTACTTGTGAGGAAGTAATTATGCATGAAAGGTGTTTCCCTGCTTGTGAGGATGACAGAAAATGTACAAAGGGTGTTGCCGTGCTATTTGATATGATTTCTTTTATTCCTTGCTTTTACTATGCGGTTTGAGAACTTTGCTATGTTGTTTTGTGGTTGCCTTGTCATTCTCCTGTATTTGAGTTGTTGTGAAAGGCTTGGTTATGTTATTTGAGAAAATATGGTCATTATTTCACTTAGTTTTTCTTTCACTATTCCTCGCACTTATTATTCTTACTATTACTCTTGTTATCTCACTCGTTATCTCTCTCTTGCTATCTTACTTGCTATTTCATTATTATCTTACTTATTATAACTCTTATTATTTTTCTTGTTATTTAACTGCACAGGATTATATAGTGAGTGTCTTGTCAAAGCCTCATCACTACCTCGTCGGGGTTAGGCCTGACATATACTAAGTACATCTAGTTAGTTGTATTCATATTATACTTCTGCACTTCTTCTGTGGATTCTAGCATTGGTCCTAGCAGTGTTCAGAGGGGTAACTATCCTGGACTTCTGAGGAGACTCGAGGTACCGCTACACTCTCCTTCGCAAGAGTCACCTTCCTTATCCTTCTTACTGTTTATTGTAATAGACAATGTTATTTTTCATTTGATATGTTATATTTAGTAAATCTTTAGAAGCTCATGTATTCAGTGACACCAGTCTTCGGTAGTTATTTGGTAGTTATTTTTGTTTAGATTCGTTATGTATTGCAAAGCTTTTACTCTCATTTATAACATCATGCTGATATATGTTTTTTTTTTTTTTTGCAATATATATGTTAGTTTTGTATCTCTTACTATGGTTAAGTGTTGGCTTGCCTAGCAAGTACTGTTAGGCGCTGTCACGATCCCTTGGTTGTAACTTTGGGTCGTGAAAGTCCTTGTGTGGAACATTATTGCACTTGCGGAAGACCATTGCAGTAATTGATTTGGAAATTCGTTGTTTTCAGCTTACAAGAGGAAGAGATGAAGGGCAAAACTTATCCCATCGGACGTGCCAAAATTTGTCTGCGATAAATTTAATAGTATGAAAAATATTCTACAACAAAAGTAAATATAATTTATGAGTACTATTCTATGTATTCCTTTGATTCTTCTCTCTAAATTTCTCAAATATTTGAGGGTTTGAGAGGCGTATTTCTTGAATCATCAAGAATGTTGGGTAGTACTTCGCCATTTGGGGTTGATCCGGGAAGAATTCTGCTGACCACTCTATTCATGTTGAACAACTTTTCGATTGATAATTGATCTCTCTGTATGAGGATACCTTCACCAATTACGAAATGCTCTTCTGCAACTCTAAATGTTCTCTAGAGCATTATGTAACCCCTCTATGTATAGTTTTGGAGGATAGACATTCCAGTTACATATGAAACTTTTTACGTAATTCTAAGGTGCTTATATGTGTCATCAAACTTATCACACAAGCTAGGTGATAAGGTTGTGTGTGATTGGTCATTGCTTTTTGACAGGGATGCCAAATTATTTTAATACGTAGCATTATCTTATTGGCCTTGAATTTGACTAGACATACCAAATTACTTAACACATGACATGATCCTAGGTCTTAAGAAGAAATGAACCTTGGGCTTGAAAATAATAAAATACACTTATTTCATGTAAAGTCCAAATTAATTATTTGACGCAATTGACTTTAATTCAAATTTTGTATGGATTAAACCTAATAAATTTTATATATCTGCACACAATTAGCCATAAAAAGGTCAATTCAGTATCCCTTATCGTTCGATTTAATTTATGACTCTGATGTAATAAACTAAAAGCTAAATGATTTTGATGCAATAATCTGAGAGTTAAGGCTTAAGCCACAAAGCCTAACTAAGCACCCATTACCATTAAAGAAACTACTAAGATGTGAACTAACGGAAAGCAAGACGATTCAAGTAGGCATAAAGACAACCAATTGATATCAAAATTTAAACAAACCTTAGGTATTAGTTGCATTGAACACTAAACAAACAAATATGGACAAGTGAAGCAAAGGGATCCAATAATCCACAAAGACAACCAACTTTTTTTTTGAATATTTCAATATTGGAACAAGCCTGAAGATGCAGAGATTTGCTGCATTGAACAAGTGATCTGCCATGGCTTCAGCAAACAGTCAGCAACATTAGTAACATCAGTAACCAAACCACTATGATTAATCAAATCGTTCAGAGACTTTAACCTATCTGTTAACTCTATTTCCTGTGCCCTCAACACATTATTCTGAGCAGTGCAATATGTCAACCTCTCTGTAGTCTCTTCAATTTTAGCCACAATGGTTCTGTTGGCAACTTGTAATTTGCTGACTTCCTTTGTCAATTCTTGCACAAGCTTTTGTTTCTTCATCCTTGATCGCCTTGCAGATTCCCTATTTGAAATCATTCTTTTCCTTTTCTTTTCATCCATGCATGCATATCTCTGATCTCCTTCTGATGCAGAACTACTACCACTTTGCCTTAAAGCTGACATATTTTCTTCTCTGTTTCCTTCAGTATTCTTATGTTGTTTTGGTTTCAATGAAAAATTGGGACTCAAGAATAAAATCAAGAGCAGTTAAAGGGAAAAGGGTGTTCATGAAATGACATAGAAATGGTAGAGAAACAATACAGAGAACGATTGAAGAAGACAAATGCCCAAAAGGGTGGTGAAAACCACAGAGATCATAGATTGATTCTTGCTAGAGAAACCCCAAATTCATTATTAAAAATAAAATCAAACACATACCAAAGGAGTGTATAGTCTTTCTGAACAATACAAAAACAAGTCTTGAAAATGTGATTTCAAGAAATGGGATTGTTACAGAAAGGCAGTCCTATTTGGAATAAGAAAAGGAAACAGAAATGGTCAATGCCCAGCAGATTAAAATGTAAAAGGAATCAGAAAAATAGCCAAAGAAATCAATAAGCAAAATAATGATGAAAAAGAAAATTCTGAAATCAGAGGCTCTTGTGGAAGAGACAAGGAAGGAGAAACCAGAAAAGTTCTTATTGGTGAGGAGAAAAAGGCACGTTACTCAATCTTTAAAAAGGAAGTGCAAGAGTCCGAGAAGAGTGTTTGGTATGACAATTGTATGTACTAAATGATGCTACTACCAATGCTAATTTTTATACCTTCAAAATCTCATTATCAGAATTCTTAAATATTAGTGAACCATGCCATTACTAATATTAATTTATTTCTATTTAATGCCACCTAGCTATCCAACTTCCAAAGCTAACCTTAGAATCTGAAATACGATTATGAAACCTCTAGAAGGAAAATAGTAAAGGAAAAAAAAATAGGATAAAGAATTGAATTTATATGCGGTTTTAAGGATACGTAATGTAACTTGATACAAATTAAGAAAATAAAATAATATTGAAATTAATGATAAGAAAATAAATGCAAATACCACAAATTGAACAGACTTAGCCTTTGAGTTTGATCACCCTCGAGCAAAGAAATGCCGCAACTGATGTTAGAATAGAATAACAAGATGATAAGAACTAGAAGTAAGAGTGTATTGCTTTTTGGTGCGTATTACAGTGTCTTTTACAAATGATCAAACCTCCATTTATATAGTAGGAAAGTCCTACTCTTGATACAATTTTATAAAAGGTAACCAATCTCATGATTTGCTAATTAATTGGCTTCTCCTTTATACGTGTCGAGATTTCCGCCGTGATCTCCAACAGATCCGGGATATTTCGGCCTTCCGTAATTTTGCTCGACAATGGTCCCTCGATCTTCTTCGGTCCTGGAATCAAGAGCTCAACGATTCAACTTCGTGCCTTGGTTCGATATAACCCGGGCTCGAGATCTGACTTGTCATGTTTCAGCCTCGGTTGGTCATACAATGGACGAACCCAGTTTCGACCGTATACAAGTACAATTTACTTTTCATATAAATTGGTATCTGAAGTTTTTATCAATTTAAGGTGATATATAGTCATTTATTTTGTGGCTCTTTACAAACTTGTTTTTAGTTTCATGATCCTACCTCTTTTTTTATACATGGAAGATTTATTTTTATGTGTAAGAAATATAAAAATATAATTTTTTTAAATTTAAAATTGTAAAAGTCCGTGATATACAAATAACACATTAAAAAGAATTTGAACGTAAGCACAAAGCATACATTGGGAATAGGCAGAAGAATTCCAACAAACTTGAGCGTAAATTTGTGTAAATGTTCAAAATGAACTTCATCCATTCCACTTGGTTTTCCACTATATTCTTATTAGTGAAATGATATATTTTCGTAGGAAATAAGAGGCACAAATTTTAAAATATTTAAAACTACACAAACGCTATAAATTTTAAAAAAATTTATTTCTTTCTTAAACTTGATGTCCAGTGAAACTATGCCAAACATATTTAAACCGAGGTAGTATGATAAGATCTTAAAATCGTTCTTTCATAATGTTAAGATTACAAGTATGAATGTCACGACCCAAAAATCACTGGCGGTGATGGCACCTAACTCGATTCGCTAGGTAAGTCAACTAACAGAAAACACAGTCCAAAAGTGATTATAGGAAAGTAGAAAAGAATTATCTGAACATTTATAAATTTATCCAAGAACTGGTAGTACGACTCATGAACTTTTAAGACGTGGAATTTACAAAACTGGTACAAATAATTACACGATTTGATTGAAATTACATAATGGATTAGCAAAACCTCAGATACCAAGGACAAGTGGCAACTATATCCGGAATGCACGAACGTCTTCAGAGTCAGCACGCGACATCACCAGCAGCTCCGCTCCAAAAATCTGTACGCAATGTACAGAAGTGTAGTATCAGTACAACCGACCCCATGTACTGGTAAGCATTTTATCTAACCTCGTCGAAGTAGTGACGAGGCTTTTTAGTTAAAAGATACTTACTGATAAAACCTGTACTGTGAATCAGCAATAGAACAATACCACAATATAATCGAGAAGAATACATGAAACGGATAAGCAAAACAATAGCGGAGTGTTAATAAAGATCACAATTTGGCATTTTCAAATACCTCGACCAATCCTTTCCGTAGAATAAAACCAATAAACTACAAAAGTCAATTCTTAACTTTCATAGCATGAGGCATGTACTAGAAAATCAAGTCAATTGCACGTGTAACGACCCGATCGGTCGTTTTGAGCATTTACACTTCGCTCAGTTGTTTGAGGGCATGAGTAGCTCCGTATGATGTATTATGATTTATGTGGATCATTGGTTTTGATTTTCAAGTTATTCGGAATTGATTTGGAAGAATGATTCTCAACTAGAAGCTTTAAATTTGAAAGGTTTGACCATGTTTGATTTTTTAGAATTTGACCTCGGATTGGATTTCTGATGGTTTCGTTAGCTCCGTCGGGTGATTTTGGACTTAGGAGCCCGTCCGGATTGTGATTTCAAGGTCCGTAGTAGGATTTGACTTGAAATGGCGAAAGTTGGAATTTTGGGAAGTTGGGCCGAGAATGGACTTTTTGATATCTGAGTCGTATTCCGATTACGTAAGTTAGAATAGGTTTGTAACGTAAAATGTGACTTGTGTGCAAAATTTGAGGTCAATCGGGCGTGATTTGATAGGTTTCGGCATCGGTTGTAAAAGTTTAAAGTTTAGAAGTTCATTGATTTCGAATTGAGGTGTGATTCATCGTTTCAATGTTGTTATGTTTGTTTTGAGGTCTCGAGTAGGTCCGTCTTATGTTATTAGACTTGTTGGTATGTTTGGATGTTGTCTTGAGGGGCTCGGGCGAGTTTCGGACGGGTTTTAGACTTGTTTTCCTTCACTATACATTGCTGGTTCTACAAAAACTGAGTATCTAGTTTCCTTAATCGCGATCACGAGGTATGGATCACCATCGCGTAGAGTTATTTTGAAGGCTATGAGAATTTTTCAGCGCGTTCGCGAGTCTTCAAACGCGATCGCGTAGGTTGCTGCAATTTGAGCATCGCATTCGCGTAAGCCTTCACGCGTTCGCGTATAGTGTTTGGCTGAACTAGGCAGTGCCCGCTTCTTCTTCGCGTTCGCACTCCTTTGTACGCGATCGCGTAGTGCATTTTCGGGGGGCAGTGCATTTCCTTCTTCGCGATCGCGAGGTTGCTTCCGCGATCACGATTCATTAATTTGCCCAGTGATTATAAAGTACTCTATTTCGAGGGTTTCGGCCATTTTTGCATTTTGGGAGCTATGGAGCTCGGATTGAGTCGATTTTGGAAGCAATTTTCACCATATGAATCAGGGTGAGTGTTCTCTACTCGGTTTTGGTAATATTTCATGAATCTATCTTTGATTTTAGCTTTTGGTTGATGAATTTTAAAGAGGAAAAGGGTTTTGGCCTAAAGTTTCATAATATGAATTTTTGAGTTTTGAACACCTATTTGGAGTCGGATTTTGAGTGAAATTAGTATGGTTGGACTCATAATTGAATGGTTTGTCAGAATTTATGAGTTTTGTCGAGTTTCGAGGCGTGGGCCCGGTGTGATTTTTGGCCGGAGTTGGGATTTGATGTAGAAGTCGATCTTTATCATTTGTAATTGCTTCCTTGGGCTTTATCTGATGTATTTGAGTTTCTTTTGGCTATTTTTGAGTTGTTCGGAGGTCTTTATGTGCGTGATGGCATTTTGGGCGTCGCTTGGCTTGCTCGGTGTTGGAATCGGCTTGTTCAAGATAAGTAACTCTTCTAAACTTAGTGCCGAGGGTATGAAACACCAAATTACGTGTTGTGTGATTGGTATTGAGGTGACGCACATGCGAGGTGACGGGCGTGTGGGCGTGCACCCTGTGAATTGTGACCCTGTTGACTTCAGGGCACTGTATAGAGGCCCTACATGGTTGATATCTGTGTTTTTCACCATGTGATAAAGTGTTGAGCTGTACATCATGCTAGATATTATGTTTATGCCTTATGCTGATATTGTTGGGACCCATAGTGGTCGTTTCTTGCTGTCATCTCATCGATTTTATTGATATTTCATACTCAGTTATAGTCATGCATTCATATCATATCTTAGTCTCAGTTGTTACTTATTGGTACATCATATCATAATTCAGGGTCAGTTTTCATGACATTATGAGCATGTGGGTGAGCCTGGAGAGATTGATGACTGAGTGAGGCCGAGAGCCTGATTATGAGTGACAATTATAGGATCGGGCTGCACGCCGCAGCGGTTATATTGATTTATGATAACGCATGGGCTGAAGGAGCCCCTTCGGAGTCTGTAACACACCCCTATGAGCGCGGATGATATTATTGAGGGATGGATTTCTCTGGACATGGATTTGTCCAAAGTATTTGATATATGGATTTGGATTTATCCACGAGGCTGGATTGCCCTTTTTCCTCGGTACTGAGTAACTGATGATCAATGATGTATATATTCCGGGATGGATCTTCCCTGGGCCGTATGAGCCATATATAGTACCGAGTGTTTGAGCATTTTGAGTGGATAGTGTGAGTTCATGTTTCATCTCTGGGATACATGGTACTGGCATGCATACATGATATACATGCATAGAGATGCATTCTTCCTTATACTGTACGGTATCACGTCGTTCATGATTTATTTTACACACATTGATATGTGGCATAGAGAGGTATTTCATACTTTCTATTTAGAAAGAAAAAAAAAGGAAACATCTTATTTATTGTGGAAAGGATTTTTGGGAAAAATTGCAGTTCCCAAACTATCTCATATTTTTCGACGATTTCGGTAAAGGATTTGGGTTTTCACTAATGTTCTTCAAAAGCGGAACCTTTTTTTTCCGGAAAACTGTACAAAAGCTGAACAATTTTATCTCTGAGATTATGTCCATGTTTATATGCTCTACGTTGTTATGAACTGCTGTTCGTTATTGGTGTTGGACCCGACCTATGTTCCAGCTCGTCACTACTTTCAACCTAAGGTTAGGTTCGTTACTTTTTGAGTACATGGGGTCGGTTGTGCTCATACTACACTTCCTGCACATTGAGTGCAGATTTCGGATGCCAATGTTGCTATTTTTTATGGTTGCTGGATTTGAAGATGTACCTGCGTTCTTTTTGTAGCTACCT